AGGCCATCTTGGGCGTGTTGGAGGCCTCTTGGGCCCTCTTGGGGCCCTCTAGGGGCCATCTTGGAGGCCACTTGGGCCATCATGGGGCTCTCTTGGGGGCCTCTTGGGCGATCTTGGGGGCTTCTTGGGCCGTCTCGAGCCGTCGGAGAGCCGAAAAGGCGCAAATGCCAGAATCCTTGAAAAACCAATGGAAAATCAATGATTTTGGCCTCTTCGGACTCTCCTGGAGGACCTCTTGGAGGCCTCTTGGGCCGTCTGGGAGGCCTCTGGGGGGCCTCTTGGGCCGTCTTGGGCCGTCTTGGACTCTCTTGGGCCGTTTTGGAGGCCGTCTTGGACCATCTCGGGCGGACTTGGAGGCCATCTTGGGCCATCTTCGCGATTTTTTGAGGATGTCCCGAGCGAAACGGCCGTTTTTTGGAGGATTTTTTTCCGGATTGAGGTCCTTTCGGCTTCCTCCCGGGACCCCGGCGGGACGGGCCGGAGCCCACTGGAGAGTTTTTTTAGAAAAAGAACCAAAACCAAAACCAGCTCATCCAGCACGCCGTGCACCCCTGCAAGCAGGGGGCGGCGGACCTAGTGGACTGCGGCCCATCCCGCCACCGTGCCTGGGTTGTCGGTCAGAGGCCCTTTGGATGCCTGTGGGGATCTACCGGGAGATCTCTTGAAGCCTCTTTCGGGCATACTTTTTAAAGCATCTCGGGGGCTTCTTGGGGGCCTGATTTGGGCATCTCGGGGCCTCTTGGGGGCCTCCCGGTGCCTTTCCGTGGCTCCTCGGGGGCTTCTGGGGAGATCTCGGGGCCATCTTGGGGCGGAGGGCTCAAAGCGTCAGTTCGTGTTCCTCCTCTTGGGGCTGCCTTGGGGGCCTCTTCGGCCCTTCTTGGAGGCTCTTGGGCCGTTTTTGGGTGGTCTTGGGCGCCTCTTGGGCCGTCCTGGACGCTCTGAGGACCAACAAATGCCCAGACCGTAAATCAAATGATTTTGACCATTATCGGCCTCTTGGGCCGCTCTCCAGGGCCTCCAAAACGGCCCAAGAGGTGTGCAAGAGGGCGGGGGACCCCAGAGAGCGCCCGCGAGCGCCCAGGGGCGCTCGGAACTCCGGGCTGTAGGCCCTTTCCAATAACACGTATAGTACTTAACGCAGAGAGCTCGCAGGGACCGCAGGGCACTCCAACTCGTGCCTTTTCAGGGCACGGTGGCGGATCACTACAGCGTGGAGCAAACTGACGCCGAGATTCCAGAATGGGTTGCTTTGGGTAAGGTTGAGCTCAAAGTAGTTCGTGGATGTACGGACAGTGGCCTCCGCTACTTGAATCTGTACGTGAAGCACCTAGGGCGGGCAGGATTTGTTGTCGGAGGTCTGCTGGGAGAGGACGACCACGCGGACGTCACGGTTCCTCCAGAGGCATGTGCCGCGCGTCTGGCCCTGGTGGATAATGTGGAAGCAGGCCTGAAAGCTCCATCAGTGGCCTCGGTCGCAGTGGCAACCCTTGCGTGACCGACCGTGCTCGCCTTGCACGTCATCGAAGACGCCGTCGGGTATGCGCCCCGACCAGTCGACCAAGCAGTGAGTTCGGACTGGCGTTGTCGGGTGAGCAACTGTTTCTTCGCTGAAGCCGATCTCCTTCTGTTCCTGATTCTGATTCGCTGCTCCTCAGAGGGCGCCAGAGAAACCCTCGCCCCTCGTCCCTTGCGTCTGGCTCCTCCTCCCTCGTCCCCGCGCTTACCTCCTCCGAGACCGCTCCTTCCTCATCCGTCCTCCCTCCCCCTCCGTTCTGGGCAGCCTGCAGGGGCCTGCCGTGGGCCTCCAGATGTTTTTTCCATGAGGGGGACCTGCAGCGGGTCTTCGTCGTCCTCGTCGTCGTCCTCGTCGTCGTTGTCTTCAGCCTGCAGGAGCCTCCAGATGGCGCCCCCGGGGTTCCCCATAGCGAGGGGGCTCCCGCTCGAGAAGTCCAAGCGAGTTACTCACGGACGAGGCTCCCGCTCGAGACTTCTCTACGATGAGTGTGCGACTTAGTGTGTGACCGTGTAGGTGTGAACGACGACGATGGTGATGATGCTGCTGCTGCTTATGATGATGACGATGATGCTGATGAGGAGGATAATGCTGATGATGACGCTGATGGTGATGTCGAGGAGAAGTTTGAGGATGACGAGGATGATGCCGATGATGCTGATGATGCTGCTGCTGATGATGATGCTGATGATATCGACGATCACGGTGCTGCTGCTGATGATGATGAGGCTGAGGATCAGGATGAGTATGATGATGATGGTGCTGATGATGGTGCTGATGATGGTGATGACGACGACGATTACGACCACGATGATCATGCTGATGATGACGACTACGATTATGATGAAGGTGATGATGATGACGGTTGGTGATGCTGACGACGATGACTATGATGATGCTGATGCTGATGATGCTGACGGTGCTGGTGATGATGCTGATGATGACGATGCCGATGATAATGACGATGCTGATGACAATGATGATGACGATGATGATAAGCATGACGCATATGATGATGATGTTGATGCTGATTGCGGTGAGGTGTGATGATGAAGATGATGAGTGACGATGATGATGATGCGATGATGCCATGATGCTGATGGCGATGATGATGATGCTGCTGATGATGATGATTCTGATGACTCGGGTGACGATGATTGTTATGATGATGGTGACGGTGACGGTGATGGTAATGGCAATGGCAATGGCAATGGTAATGGTAATGGTAATGGTAATGGTAATGGTGATGGGGATGATGGTGATGATGACGCTGCTCTCTTGCTGATGGTACTGAGGATGAGTATGCTGCTGGTGGTGGTGATGTTGATGACGATGAGGATGATGCTGGTGATGATGATGGTGATGGCGATGGTGATGGTGATGGTGGTGCTGACGATGATGATGCTGGTGGTGATGATGATGATGATGATGACTGCGAGTGTGTGAGCGGTGTCACTCATGACGATGATTATGCTGATGGTGGTGACGATGATGATGTTGAGGATGATTGGTGATGCTGATGCTGATGCTGATGATGGTGCTGATTGTGCTGGGGGTGATGACGATGATGATGGCGATTGTGATGGGGGTGATGCTGGTGATGATGATGCTGATGATGGTGATGGTGATGGTGGTGATGATGCTGCTGTTGATGATGATGATGATGAATGTGATGAATTTGATGATGATGCTGATGATTATGATGCGGATGATGGTTCTGGTGAGGATGATAATGACGATGACGATGACGTTGATGATGCTGAGGATGATGATGCTGATTGTGATGGGGGTGGTGGTGATTATTATGCTGATGATGCTGATGCTGATGATGGAGATGATGATGTTGATGCTGATGATTGATGATGTTGGTGATGCTGATGATGATGACGATGATTATGTTGACGATGATGATGAGGATTATGATAATGATGCTGACTATAATGATGATGCTGAGGATGGGGATGATGATGGTGATGATCATGCTGACGATGGTGATAGTGATGATGATGGTGATGATGATGGAGGTGATGATGATGAAGATGCTCATGACGATGCTGATTCTTGTGATGGGGGTGACGATGATGGATTTGATGATGATGATGATGAATGTGATGATGCTGATGATGTGGATGATGATGACGATGATGGTTACAATATTGCTATCATGGTGGTGATGATGATGGTGCGTTTGTTGTTGCTGTTGTTTATGATGATGGGGGTTGATGGCGCTGATGATGACAATGCTGATGCCGATGCTGCTGCTGATGATGATGATGATGATGATGATGATGATGATGATGATGATGATGATGGTGGCAGTACGAGAGGAGAAGTGGGTGAGGAGGACGAGGAGGTTCCTGCGGGGGGTGTCCAGAGAAAACTCGAGCCCTTTGCAGGACATGGGGAAGATAGTCCAGTGACAGGGGCCACTCCTGGCTTTGAATGGAGAGAGTTTCCCGGGCCGGGCCCTGGCACTACAGCCCAGCAGGGCCATCATCACTCAGAAGTCATCGGCAAGGGTCTGTGCTTTTATGGTTTGATGGCCGTCCGCGCCCTTTGCGACAGTGCTGGCGATATGTGCCATCTGTGCGGCAGCACCAGATCGGAGTTATTTCGGCTCAGACAACAGCTACTCACATTCCGGCACCTTTACTTGATATCGAACCTTTTTTTCTGCGCGCCGTGAAACTCACGCGGGATGAAGTCTCCAGCATCGCGGTACTCTTGTTTTTAGTTGGCCGCGTGGGAGCTGCTCAGCTCAAAGTGATTGACGACACGACCTACGAGTCTGGAGCAGCACGTTCCCCAGTCTATGGGTACGAAATCACTTACAAGTCTACGCACCAGATTGATGACATTTACTTTGTTAAGAATGGCGCGCGGACGATCCCTTTCATGGAATCTTTCCCGACCTACGGCGGCTGCACCCTCACTCAGGGCGGCCCTTGCAACGGAGGTCATCAGAGCCCGTGGGACTCATCAGGCAAGGCTGACAACTCCGGGTGCTGGTCATTCACTACTCACAGTATCTTATGCGATCATGACATAACTCCGACGAAGTGCATATCGAATTCTGGTCGGGCGGCTATTCTTCCACGAGCGGCTTCACTGTGAAATCATTGGACGCGGGTGGATCAGTAATTGCGACCGTGGCTGATGTTGGGTCCCGGTCAGGGCTTACTGCTTGCAATGCGCTCGACGGCGCTGGGACGCCAACGATTTGTCCGGTCTCCCCTCCGACGACGTACACGCAACCTACTGCTGCGACACCCAGCCCGACCGCTGCGACACCCAGCCCGACCAGCGCCCCCAGCCCGGCAGCTTCTGGGGCTTCTGCCGTTGGCGATCCTCACTTGCAAAACGTTCGTGGTGAGCGGTTCGACTTGATGAAGGAGGGCAATCACGTGCTCATAAGCATTCCTCGTGGACAGATCGCCGAAAACGCCTTGCTTCGCGTGCGGGCCGATGCGCGCCGATTGGGTGGACAATGTGCGGATATGTACTTCCAAGCGCTGAACGTTACAGGGTCTTGGGCAGAGGCCAGTCAAGCTGGAGGGTATCGAAGACGCCTACGGCGAATCACCGCCGCCCCCTACCTTTATGAAACGCGCCTCTGTGGCCAAGCGTTTGGGTCCAGAGCTTGAACAAACTTTCGGACCAGGTGCTCCCCGAGCCGCTGTCGAAACCTTTCGGGGAATACGTGGGCGAGGAAGAGGAGGATGAGGAGAGGAAGGGAAAAGGAAGAGGAGGAGGAGGAGGAGGAGGAGGAGGAGGAGGAGGAGGGAGGAGATCTCTTGGGAGCCTCGTGCGCCATTCCTGGGGCCTTCTGAGAGCTTCCTCGGGACCTCTTGGAGGCCTCTTGGGGGTCTCCTTGGGCCTCTTGGGGGCCTTTGGGGTCTTCTTGGGGGCCCTTTTGGTCTTCTTGCGGCGTCCCTGGTCTGTCTGACGCCGTCGGAAGCCATCTTGGACGCCTCCCTGGGCCGTCTTGGGGCCCTCTTGGGGCGCTGAAGAGCCGTCTCGGAGGCCATTTTGGGCATGTTGGAGGCCTCTTGGGCCGTCTTGGGACCCTTTTGGGGCTGTCTTGGGATTCTCTTGGGCCGTCCTGGGGCCATCTTGGAGGCCTCTCGCGCGATCTGTGGCCGTCTCGGGCCGTCGGACGGCCGAAAGGAAGTAAACGTCCAAATTCTTCGCAAACCGAAGGCAAATCACTGCTTCTGGCATCTTGGGGCCTTCGTGGAGTACCTCTTGGAGGCTTGTTGGGCTTGGGGGCCTCTTGGACCGTCTTGGGCTATCTTCTTGAGGCCATCTTAGGCCGTCTTCGGTGCATCTTGGGCCGTCTTGGAGACATCTTGGGACTTCTTGAGGCCATCGTGGGCGCCTTGGAGGCGTCTTGGGACCGTCTTGGAGGCCATCTTGGGGCCATCTTGACCGAAAAAGCTGACGAGACGGGCGGCCAGCGGCATCGCCGAAGCCCCAGGGGTAGTCTTAACAAGAACCATACACCATTGTAAATTTAGCGCGCTGGGCACCTCTGTGGCAAGCCAGCAGGGGGCGGCGGACCTAGTGGACTTCGGCCCATCCCGCCACCGTGCCTGGGTTGTCGGTCAGAGGCCCTTTGGATGCCTGTGGGGATCTACCGGGAGATCTCTTGAAGCCTCTTTCGGGCATACTTTTTAAAGCATCTCGGGGGCTTCTTGGGGGCCTGATTTGGGCATCTCGGGGCCTCTTGGGGGCCTCCCGGGGCCTTTCCGGGGCTCCTCGGGGGCCTCTGGGGAGATCTCGGGGCCATCTTGGGGCGGAGGGCTCAAAGCGTCAGTTCGTGCTCCTCCTCTTGGGGCTGCCTTGGGGGCCTCTTCGGCCCTTCTTGGAGGCTCTTGGGCCGTTTTTGGGTGGTCTTGGGCGCCTCTTGGGCCGTCCTGGACGCTCTGAGGACCAACAAATGCCCAGACCGTAAATCAAATGATTTTGACCATTATCGGCCTCTTGGGCCGCTCTCCAGGGCCTCCAAAACGGCCCAAGAGGTGTGCAAGAGGGCGGGGGACCCCAGAGAGCGCCCGCGAGCGCCCAGGGGCGCTCGGAACTCCGGGCTGTAGGCCCTTTCCAATAACACGTATAGTACTTAACGCAGAGAGCTCGCAGGGACCGCAGGGCACTCCAACTCGTGCCTTTTCAGGGCACGGTGGCGGATCACTACAGCGTGGAGCAAACTGACGCCGAGATTCCAGAATGGGTTGCTTTGGGTAAGGTTGAGCTCAAAGTAGTTCGTGGATGTACGGACAGTGGCCTCCGCTACTTGAATCTGTACGTGAAGCACCTAGGGCGGGCAGGATTTGTTGTCGGAGGTCTGCTGGGAGAGGACGACCACGCGGACGTCATGGTTCCTCCAGAGGCATGTGCCACGCGTCTGGCCCTGGTGGATAATGTGGAAGCAGGCCTGAAAGCTCCATCAGTGGCCTCGGTCGCAGTGGCAACCCTTGCGTGACCGACCGTGCTCGCCTTGCACGTCATCGAAGACGCCGTCGGGTATGCGCCCCGACCAGTCGACCAAGCAGTGAGTTCGGACTGGCGTTGTCGGGTGAGCAACTGTTTCTTCGCTGAAGCCGATCTCCTTCTGTTCCTGATTCTGATTCGCTGCTCCTCAGAGGGCGCCGGAGAAACCCTCGCCCCTCGTCCCTTGCGTCTGGCTCCTCCTCCCTCGTCCCCGCGCTTACCTCCTCCGAGACCGCTCCTTCCTCATCCGTCCTCCCTCCCCCTCCGTTCTGGGCAGCCTGCAGGGGCCTGCCGTGGGCCTCCAGGTGTTTTTTCCAGGAGGGGGACCTGCAGCGGGTCTTCGTCGTCCTCGTCGTCGTCCTCGTCGTCGTTGTCCTCAGCCTGCAGGAGCCTCCATATGGCGCCCCCAGGGTTCCCCATAGCGAGGGGGCTCCCGCTCGAGACGTCCAAGCGAGTTACTCACGGACGAGGCTCCCGCTCGAGACTTCTCTACGATGAGTGTGCGACTTAGTGTGTGACCGTGTAGGTGTGAACGACGACGATGGTGATGATGCTGCTGCTGCTGCTGCTTATGATGATGATGATGATGATGATGATGATGATGATGATGACGATGATACTGATGAGGAGGATGATGCTGATGATGACGCTGATGGTGATGTCGAGGAGAAGCTTGAGGATGACGAGGATGATGCCGATGGTGCTGATGCTGCTGCTGATGATGATGCTGATGATATCGACGATCACGATGCTGCTGCTGATGATGATGAGGCTGAGGATGAGGATGAGTATGATGATGATGGTGCTGGTGATGGTGCTGATGATGGTGATGACGACGACGATTACGACCACGATGATCATGCTGATGATGACGACTACGATTCTGATGAGGATGATACGGTTGGTGATGCTGACGTCGATGACTATGATGATGCTGATGCTGATGATGCTGACGGTGCTGGTGATAGTGCTGCTGATGACGATGCCGATGATAAAAGACGATGCTGATGACAATGATGATGATGATGATGATGATGATGCTGATGATGATGATGATAAGCATGACGCATATGATGATGTTGATGCTGATTGCAGTGAGGGTGATGATGAAGATGATGAGGACGATGATGATGATGATGATGCTGCAGATGCCGATGATACTGATGGCGATGATGATGATGCTGCTGATGATGATGATTCTGATGACTCGGGTGACGATGATTGTTATGATGATGGTGACGGTGACGGTGATGGTAATGGCAATGGCAATGGCAATGGTAATGGCAATGGTAATGGTAATGGTAATGGTAATGGTGATGGTGATGGGGATGATGATGGTGATGATGACGCTGCTCTCTTGCTGATGGTACTGAGGATGAGTATGCTGCTGGTGGTGGTGATGTTGATGACGATGAGGATGATGCTGGTGATGATGATGGTGATGGCGATGGTGATGGTGATGGTGGTGCTGACGATGATGATGCTGGTGGTGATGATGATGCTGATGATGATGATGATGCTGTGAGTGTGTGAGCGGTGTCAGTCATGTTGATTATGATGATGATGATGGTAATGACGATGCCGAAGATGACGATCATGATTATTATGTTGATGATGCTGATGATGATGGTGGTGGTGATGATGATGATGTTTAGGATGATTGGTGATGCTGATGCTGATGATGATGATGATGGTGCTGATTGTGCTGGGGGTGATGACGATGATGATGGCGATTGTGATGGGGGTGATGCTGGTGATGATGTTGATGATGGTGATGGTGATGGTGGTGATGATGCTGCTGTTGATGATGACGATGATGAATGTGATGAATTTGATGATGATGCTGATGATTATGATGCGGATGATGGTTCTGGTGAGGATGCTAATGACGATGACGATGACGTTGATGATGCTCATGATGATGTTGACTGTGATGGGGGTGGTGGTGATTATTATGCTGCTGATGCTGATGCTGATGATGGAGATGATGATGCTGATGTTGATGATGATGATGATGTTGGTGATGCTGATAATGATGATGATGATGATGACGATGATTATGTTGACGATGATGATGAGGATTATGATAATGATGCTGATTATAATGATGATGCTGAGGATGAGGACGATGATAGTGATGAGCATGCTGACGATGGTGATAGTGATGATGATGATGGTGATGATGATGGAGGTGATGATGATGACGGAGGTGATGATGATGAAGATGCTCAGGATGACGATTCTTGTGATGGGGGTGACGATGATGGATTTGATGATGATGAATGTGATGATGCTAATGATGTTGATGATGACGATGATGGTTACAATATTGCTATGATGGTGGTGATGATGATGGTGCGTTTGTTGTTGCTGTTGTTTATGATGATGGGGCTTGATGGTGCTGATGATGACGATGCTGCTGCTGCTGCTGATGATGATGATGATGACGATGATGGTAGCAGTACGAGAGGAGAAGTGGGTGAGGAGGACGAGGAGGTTCCTGCGGGGGGTGTCCAGAGAAAACTCGAGCCCTTTTCAGGACATGGGGAAGATAGTCCAGTGACAGGGGCCCTCCTGGCTTTGAATGGAGAGAGTTTCCCGGGCCGGGCCCTGGCACTACAGCCCAGCAGGGCCATCATCACTCAGAAGTCATCGGCAAGGGTCTGTGCTTTTATGGTTCGATGGCCGTCCGTGCCCTTTGCGACAGTGCTGGCGATATGTGCCATCTGTGCGGCAGCACCAGATCGGAGTTTTTTCGGCTCAGACAACAGCTACGCACATTCCGGCACCTTTACTTGATATCGAACCTTTTTTTCTTCGCGTCGTGAAACTCACGCGGGATGAAGCCCTCCAGCATCGCGGTACTCTTTTTTTTAGTTGGCTGCGTGGGAGCTGCTCAGCTCAAAGTGATTGACGACACGACCTACGAGTCTGGAGCAGCACGTTCCCCAGTCTATGGGTACGAAATCACTTACAAGTCTACGCACCAGATTGATGACATTTACTTTGCTAAGAATGGCGCGCGGACGATTCCTTTCATGGAATCTTTCCCGACCTACGGCGGCTGTACCCTCACTCAGGGCGGCCCTTGCAACGGAGGTCATCAGAGCCCGTGGGATTCATCAGGCAAGGCTGACAACTCCGGGTGCTGGTCATTCACTACTCACAGTATCTTATGCGATCATGACATAACCTCCGACGAAGTGCATATCGAATTCTGGTCGGGCGGCTATTCTTCCACGAGCGGCTTCACTGTGAAATCATTGGACGCGGGTGGATCAGTAATTGCGACCGTGGCTGATGTTGGGTCCCGGTCAGGGCTTACTGCTTGCAATGCGCTCGACGGCGCTGGGACGCCAACGATTTGTCCGGTCTCCCCTCCGACGACGTACACGCAACCTACTGCTGCGACACCCAGCCCGACCGCTGCGACACCCAGCCCGACCAGCGCCCCCAGCCCGGCAGCTTCTGGGGCTTCTGCCGTTGGCGATCCTCACTTGCAAAACGTTCATGGTGAGCGGTTCGATTTGATGAAGGAGGGCAATCACGTGCTCATAAGCATTCCTCGTGGACAGATCGCCGAAAACGCCTTGCTTCGCGTGCGGGCCGATGCGCGCCGATTGGGTGGACGATGTGCGGATATGTACTTCCAAGCGCTGAACGTTACAGGGTCTTGGGCAGAGGCCAGTCAAGCTGGAGGGTATCGAAGACGCCTACGGCGAATCACCGCCGCCCCCTACCTTGATGAAGCGCGCCTCTGTGGCCAAGCGTTTGGGTCCAGAGCTTGAACAAACTTTCGGACCAGGTGCTCCCCGAGCCGCTGTCGAAACCTTTCGGGGAATACGTGGGCGAGGAAGAGGAGGATGAGGAGAGGGAGGGAAAAGGAAGAGGAGGAGGAGGAGGAGGAGGAGGAGGAGGAGGAGGAGGAGGAGGAGGAGGAGATCTCTTGGGAGCCTCGTGCGCCATTCCTGGGGCCTTCTGAGAGCGTCCTCGGGACCTCTTGGAGGCCTCTTGGGGGTCTCCTTGGGCCTCTTGGGGGCCTTTGGGGTCTTCTTGGGGGCCCTTTTGGTCTTCTTGCGGCGTCCCTGGTCTGTCTGACGCCGTCGGAAGCCATCTTGGACGCCTCTCTGGGCCTTCTTGGGGCCCTCTTGGGGCGCTGAAGAGCCGTCTCGGAGGCCATTTTGGGCATGTTGGAGGCCTCTTGGGCCGTCTTGGGACCCTTTTGGGGCTGTCTTGGGATTCTCTTGGGCCGTCCTGGGGCCATCTTGGAGGCCTCTCGCGCGATCTGTGGCCGTCTCGGGCCGTCGGACGGCCGAAAGGAAGTAAACGCCCAAATTCTTCACAAACCGAAGGCAAATCAATGCTTCTGGCATCTTGGGGCCTTCGTGGAGTACCGCTAGGGGGCTTGTTGGGCTTGGGGGCCTCTTGGACCGTCTTGGGCTATCTTCTTGAGGCCGTCTTAGGCCGTCTTCGGTGCATCTTGGGCCGTCTTGGAGACATCTTGGGACTTCTTGAGGCCATCGTGGGCGCCTTGGAGGCGTCTTGGGACCGTCTAGGAGGCCATCTTGGGGCCATCTTGACCGAAAGAGCTGACGAGACGGGCGGCCAGCGGCATCGCCGAAGCCCCAGGGGTAGTCTTAACAAGAACCATACACCATTGTAAATTTAGCGCGCTGGGCACCTCTGTGGCAAGCCAACAGGGGGCGGCGGATCTAGTGAACTTCGGCCCATCCCGCCACTGTGCCTGGGTTGTCGGTCAGAGGCCCTTCGGATGCCTGTGAGGATCTACCGGGAGATCTCTTGAAGCCTCTTTTGGGGATATTTCAAAGCATCTCGGGGGCTTCTTGGGGGCCTGATTTGGGCATCTCGGGGCCTCTTGGGGGCCTCTCGGGGCCTTTTCGGGGCTCCTCGGGGGCCTCTGGGGAGATCTCGGGGCCATCTTGGGGCGGAGGGCTCAAAGCGTCAGTTCGTGTTCCTCCTCTTGGGGCTGCC